TCAAAAACTAATGATGTAATGTATGGTGATTAACATAACATAATAAAATAAATAAATAAATAAATAAACACACTTTCCAAATAAATAAATAAATAAAATAAACCACTGAGTGTTGGGACAGTTTGTCACGCAACAATAGCTAACAGCTCAAAGTGTGGGCTCACTGACCAGTAGCATCAGAATCACCAGGGAGCTTCTCAGACATGCAGGGTTTTTGGGTGGACCCCAGACCTACTGACTTAGGATCTACATTTTACTAAGATCCCTAGGTTATCTGTATGTACATTTAAACTTGAGAAGCACTGGTTTAGCCAACCTCTGGTGGCCAAAGTAAGTGTAGTTAAGCTGCAGACTGAGTGCAGTTCTCAAATCAAGTAAGTGGGATGAGCATTTTTGATTCATATCCAATTCCACACATGCTCTGTACAAGGCACTGGCTCAGGCACTGTGAAGATGAAAACTAAGATGGCCTTGCTATCTGTCTATTTGATATAATTCTTTTCAGTAGTATTCCTTAGTTCCTTTCCTTTGAAAGCTCCTTGAAGGGTAGACCAAGTCTTAAACCACTTTGAAATTCCCAAAGTACCTTTCACAGAACTGGGATTTTAAAACTCTTAATTGAATGGATGGGAGAAAGGGCTAAAAAGAACAGAACAAAACTGCACCACCCTGTTAAAAATGGGAGGGGGGATCTTATGTCTACTTTTAATAGACATAGTGTAAAGGAAATAGAATGCTATATGTTTTATAAGGTTTCTTTTTCTTACTTTTTTTTTTTTTCCATTTAAGCTTTCCTTTGCATCCCCATAAAAGCCATTATTCAAACAAGTACTAGCAGCTCATTTAGGGCAGTTTGTTATATAGTACCAACTACGTCAGTTATGAGCATCTACTACATCTCAGGTGCCACAGGAGGTGTTAAAGATATAGAGATGAATATAAAGACCTAGCCCTGCTCCCCAGGTGCGAAGTCCAATGAAGGAGACCGAGTCACAAACAATAATTTCAATAGAATACACACTTAGGATGAATTGACTTACAATTTTTCGCCTTTACAATGAACAAAAGCGATAGGCATTCCGTAGAAAACTGTACTTCGAATTTTGATCTATTCCTGGGCTACTGATACACAGTACGAACCTCTCTCCCAAGGCTGGGGCAGTGAACCCAGAGCTCCCAGAGGGTAAACTATTGATACACTTAACAACCACTCTATACCCTACAGCCACTCTGTTTTTCACTTTCATTACAGCATTCAATAAATTACACGAGATATTCAACAACTTCTTATAAAATAGGTTTGGTGTTAGATGACTTTGCCCAACTGTAAGCTAATGTACAGGGGTACCTCAGAGACACTGCCGGTTCAGTTCCAGGCCACCACAATAGAGCAAAAATTGCAATAAAAAAGTCAAATAAATTTTTGGTTTCCCAATGCATATAAAAGTTATGTTTATGCTATATTGTAGTCTATTAATTGCACAATAGAATTATGTCTAAAAAATGTACATACCTTAATTTAGAAATGCCTTGCTAAAAAGTGCTAGCCATCATCTGAATTTTCAATGAGTTGTAATCACTGATCACAGATCACCATAAGAATTATAATAAAAGTGAAAAAATTTGAAATATTGTGAGATTTACCAAAATGTGACAGACAGACATGAAGAGAGCAAATGCTGTTGGAAAAATGGAGCCCATGGACTCGCTTGACACCAGGTTGCCATGAACCTTCAGTTTGTAAAAACACAGTATCTACAGAGCACAATAAAGTGTAGCATAATAAAATGAGGTATGCCTACAAGTCTTCTGAGGACACTGATGGCAGACTAGGCTAAGCTATGGTGTTCGATAGGTTAGATGTATTAAATGCATTTTTGACTTAATGATATTTTCAACTTACGGGGTTACAGAGACATAACCCCATCATAAATTGAGGAAGACATGTACAGAAAGGCACATATAGTCTTGTGGCGGGTAGGGATCTTAAAGAGTTCCACATAATTACTCCTTTTGCTTAATGTTTCAATCTATAATAAAATATGAAGTTTTAGAACCAATAGTGATGGGAAACTCACTGCCTCCTGAGGCAGCCTGCTGCATTTGTGAAGAGCTCAAACTTTACTGTTTTCTTATATTTAACTAAAACTCTAAGTCCCTTCTACTTATTGGTCCTAGGCCTATCATCACAGAGGCAACACAGAATGAACGATGCATGTCTGATGGCCTCACTCTTCTCAGGAGGACAGAAGCCTATGGGTGAAGGAGAGTGGAATTGAGAGGAGAGGGATCTGAAGTACTCGAAATGAAAATTATACAAAGTCAATTCCAAAACAAACAAAAGGAAAGGGAAATCAAACCAGAAAAAAAAAAAAAGGAAAAAGAGAAAGAGAAAGAAAGAAAAAAGAAAACCAATAAGATAACTCAGCACTGCTGTGTCAATTTCTTTGGCAAAGTCATGCTGACTCAGAACGAGTACACAGAAAGAAGTTTAAAGACCCAGAGCTTGACATACATAGCAAAAATGTATGGAAACATCTTGATATTAACTCAATAACTATAATAAATATTCTGTGACTACCTACTATCTACCCAATTAGGTAAGAATTTAAGAAAATACTGTTATTCTTTGGAAATAACTTGCTTATAAAACTTTCTATTTCCTGTCAGTTAAACTAGACTCCAACAATGACACGCACATAAATCTTACTTTACGAAAAAGTCTTACCTTTACAAACTTTGCAACAGCTATGAGACAAGGTAATCTGCTGAGATTCTGGACAATCCAAAGCCGGACAGCCAGAACTTTCAACCAGCTTCATGGTTTGGTCCTATGAGACAACAGAAAATAAATCCTTCAAACCTCTGCATTTGGACATACTAAGAAGTTTCTAGATCCAGCATCTGAGAAGGCCCTTCACCCACAAGAGAAAAATTTTCATCCTGAGAACCTCTGCATAGGTCACAGGCTCACTCACAAAATGATATTAAGTCATAACTGGAAAGCCTTGAAAATGGACCAGCAGCTCTGGGAATAGGAGCATAACACATTGCATCCATATAAATAATTTGCCAAACAACTAGGGAATCCTAAAAAATTCCTTTAGTTTTATAACACATTTGCACATCCAGATGACAACCGTGGCACAAACACGGCTTGAATTAGATCAATGGCCCACATTGAAAAAAAAACAATAAATAAAAACTGAGCCTTGTAAACATTCTCATTTCAAACTTTTCTAGACTATTATGAAGAGATTCTGACAGGTGATTAAGGTAAGGAATATTGGGGATCTCTCCCCCAAACCATAAAGGAAATGAAGGCAGGATTTGGTTGGCTTCTATACTGTCAACCTCCTATCTCTTAAGAACAGGGGTCATTAACTAAAGCAGCATATAAGCAATAAAATGTTGGAACTTGTAGGCTTCCATTTTAACACTGCTCAAAAGCTTAAATTTTTAGATGTCATTTCTATTAAGTACTACTCTTATGGAAGAAGTATTCATTTCAACATTTCCATCTTCCTGGAGTATCTGTAGAAAACAGATCATGATTTGAAAATGATCTTACCAAGAACGTGGTAGGACCATACAATCCTGTAATTCTACTTCTGGGTTTTTTTCCTCAAAAAAAAAAAAAAAAAACCCAAAACACTAATTCAAAAAGACATATGCACCCTGATGCTTACTGCAGCATTATGTACAGTAGCCAAGATGTGGAAGCAAACTAAGTGTCCATTGATAGATGAATGGATAAAGAGGATGTGAGACAAACAGATAAGGAATATTACTTAGCCATGAAAAAGAAATGAAATGTCGTCATTTATGACAACATGGATGGACCTAGGAAGTATAATGCTAAGTGAAATGTCAGACAGAAAAAGACAAATACATATAATTTCACTTACATGTGCAATCTAAAAAACGAAACAAAAACAGAAATAGAATCGTAAATACAGAAAACAAACTGGTGGTTGCCAGAAGGGAGGGGCGGTAGGGGATGGGTAAAATAGGTAAAGGAGATTAAGAGGTACAAATTTCCAGTTATAAAACAAATAAATCACAAGGGTGAAAAATACAGCATAGGGACTACAGTCAATAATATTGTAATAACATTGTATGATTACAGATGATAACTACACTCGTGGTGAGCATTTCATAATGTATATAATTGTTGCATCACTACGTTGTACACCTGAAACTAGTAGAATAGTGTATGTCAGCTACACTTAAAAAAAAAATGAGTGGTAGGAGACATGGATCTAGTGGAGTCAAATGCTAGTCTTCCTTTGGTTTGACAATACTATCCATTCTGGTAATCTTATTTTCAGAACCACAGTGTTTTCCAGTGTTACTATTAAAATTACAGACCCCCAGGACACACTTTCAAGGCCACAAAAGTGAAAATAAAGAAAAAATGAAGGACTAGTGTCGACAGCCCAGGAAATAAAAGCTTGGGAGAGCTGTGAATTATGTAAAGGTATAAATACAGAAACTAAGGGGCCTGAAGGGAAGGGAAACAATGGAAGTTCTTAATGTCAAGAATTTAGTCTGGGGCGCCTGGGTGGTGCAGTCGGTTGAGTGTCCCACTCTTAATTTTAGCTCAGGTCATGATCTCAGGGTCGTGAGATTGAGCCCCCCAGTGGGGCTCCAAGCTCACCACAGACTCTGCTTAAGATTCTCCCTCTCCATCTGCCCTTCCCCCACTCATGCATGCTCTCTCTCTTTCTCTAAAATAAATAAATAAATCTTAAAAAAAAAAAAAGAATTTAGTTAAGAACTCCAAAAACAGATGATAATCTGGTACAGCTGGGCTGTACGATCAATAGTCACTAGCTACATGGAGCTCTTGAATACGATAAACATAAAATAAACAAAAGATTTTGGAGGATTAATGTGACAATAGAATGTGTAATATTTCTTTTTTTTTTTTAAAGATTTTATTTATTTATTTGAGAGAGAGAGAATGAGAGAGAGCACATGAGAGAGGGCAGGGTCAGAGGGAGAAGCAGACTCCCTGCCAAGCAGGAAGCCCGATGCGGGACTCGATCCAGGGACTCCAGGATCATGACCTGAGCCGAAGGCAGTCGCTTAACCAACTGAGCCACCCAGGCGCCCTGAATGTGTAATATTCCTTTAAGAATTTTATGTTGATTATGTGTTAAAATGATAATATTTTGCACATATGGGTTTAAATATAGAAAATTAGCACAATAAAAATTATTATTTGTGGCTTACATATTTCTATTGGACAGCAGAGCATTGGAGAGGAAATGATGCCTTTTGTTTGAGTAAATAAGAGGTAACATTTGTTCATTCACTCAATATTTACTTTCAGAGTATAGGCACATTCAGAGTTGTCTATATATAGACTTCTCACTAACCCATTCTAAAATGAAATCATTTCATAGCTATCTTACAACCAGACAGGCAACTATTCCAATAGATTTCTAAGCCATAATTGTCAGTATTATTAGACACACTGGTCAGATGAAAAGAATACACACAGACACACACACACACGCATTGAGAAATTCCAAATGCCCTCAAGATATTTAAATTTAGAGCTAATATTTCAAAGTTAGAAACCAGCTGACAAAAGTTTTCCACCTTCCTTGAAGTAACTTTCTTCTGCTTCCTTTTTCTTAATTTGGAGTTACTAGCCCTCACTCTAGGTCTTTCAACCCTTACATTTATAGTGGGACCTACTTCACTCAAAACAGTGTTGGTGTAGGGTACTTATAGGGGACAGTCCATCTTAATATACAGGTTTGGGAATTCATGTTAATGTTCCTATACCTCAGATCTCTTGTCTTTAAGACGGTGACCTGCACTACAGGAAAGCTGACTTAAAGCCAAGAGAAGCAGCTCGAATACTTTATAATGGGCATGAAGAAATCAGACCTCTCATATTCTAGAAACCAAATCTGTCACAGGCTTGCCTCTCTTACGTTTCCTCCTTGCTTATCCCAAAGGACTTCCAACCTCAGATGCATGAAGTGTAGAGCCGGCTTCTTTCAATTTATTGTGGCAAAATTCTTAGGATTTTCCTTTCCCTGACACTGAATAATCATATAAATCCTCACAATTTATTGGTGGTGCCAGCAGCATTTTCTTTTTCTATGTAATCTATGCATACTAAATCATCCCCAAAATCCATTTAAAGAGAAGACATTTAAAGAGAAAAATTAGGGATCAAATGTAAAGGAAATTCTAAAGCATCAACTTTATATGCAGAGTTTCCCTCAGATAGAATATGGCTTGCAATATCACATTATGGTCAAGAAATATATTATAGTTTATAAAAGGCAAAGATGAAAATTTTATGAAACATACTTTTTCAATTAGTAGATCAAGCAGCAGAGATAAAAACACTCACATCTGCTTCTGAAGCCTACTTGAGGAGACCTTGGCAGTAAATTTATAAAGAATTCCCCCTTCAAATCATTTAAAATATTCTTACTAAAGGGATTAATAACAATATCTCATCTCATCTCCATCCAACAGCTAATTTTTATTAGGTATTTTTTATGATTTTCCACTGAACTGAATGATATTTGTCACATGGTCAAGAACTATACGTGACAACAGGCTGAGTCCAACTTTATCTACATTTTCTTCACAGGAGTTAGTTTGAATTTGGAAAAATAAGACAACTTCATAAAACTTTAATTGGATAAAACAGTATTTTTGTTTACTGGGGAAATTATAGCCATTAATTTACATATTTGAAAAAAAATGGGAATTTCTATTTGAATTATAATTAATATCTTAAATTTTTTTTTGCCTTAAATGTTTGAAAGGTATTACAAGTGTGACATTTTAAAGAAATATTTACCATTTACATAATAAAGAATTTTGAAAGACCCATGAAGAGCTTCCTTACCTTGCACTCGTAGAGAACACATACTCCAGAAGAGGAATAAACCGTATTTCTCTCTCCTTCAAAGTAGGTCCGTCCTTGAAATTGACATATTGCTTTGGAATAAAAAATACATATATATTTATTTTTAATTTTTCTTTAGGAAAAATAGTTGGGAAGTGTTTAGATTATATTTCACATGGTCTTAAGCCTTTTCAAAGTGTCTGAATTACCATAAACCTAAATTCAATATAACTTAAGGCACATGTAGCATCCAGTTATTGTTATGCCCATTAAGGTCAGAGAGTAAAATAAGGTACAAAAAAGATTACGACAATGACAAGTCAGAAGTAGACTCTAAAAAAAGGGTGCCAATGAGCAGACTCTCAGATGACTTGTCTACTAGATGATGTCGCCCTTAGGGCATATTAAGCAGGTGTCTGGAGCAGCTACGAATCAGGGCAACACAAATATGAAAAAAAAAGTGCATTTTTTTGTATGCCATTTCAGAATTTTATTTTTTTTATTTTTTATTTTTTTAAAGATTTATTTATTTATTTGAGAGAGAGTACATGAGAGGGGGGAGGGTCAGAGGGAGAAGCAGGCTCCTCGCTGAGCAGGGAGCCCAATGCGGGACTCGATCCCGGGACTCCAGGATCATGACCTGAGCCGAAGGCAGTTGCTTAACCAACTGAGCCACCCAGGCGCCCCGCCATTTCAGAATTTTAAAAACAAAATTTAAAAGAAGCTTTTTTAATTTCAGTACATACATGAAAATTTTATGTTTTATGAATTAGCACTATTTAGTTTGTAAATACATGTGGATTAGGGCACCCTACTTAGGATATTGAAAAATCTTAATCTGGGCCTGCTTTGTTTCCATCACCAATTAAATAAAATTTTAAAATAGAACTTCAGATTCAATAGGAAAACATTTTTAATTAGTGAAAATACATAGAAATCATCAAATAATTTTTGAGATTTTCAAAACAGTTTCAATTCACATAAACATTTTGCCAGCAGAAATTGCTTGTTTTGAAGGGAACGGTTCACACTCCCCATGCTGACTCATCACCTAACCAGAGACAGCTACCCCCAGTTAATGAAACTTAACTTTCAGAATCCTCCTCCGGTTTAGTCACCTTTTTAAGACTCTGAACTAACTTTTGTTTTTGCAACTTTGTATTGTTTTTCGTTTTTGGGGGTTTTTTTGAAAAGGCACTCAATATTGTGGATGCTTTGGAGCTCCATAGCATCTAGAAAAAGACCAGTGGAAATGATTATCTGATAAGAAAAGACTCAAGCAGTTTGTTAGCCTTGTTTACTAAATCCAATTTTTAATTTTAACCATACAGACTTTACAAAATGGATGTGTACATTTTCTTCTAATTCCTTTGTGTGAATTTGAAGAAAATGTTTCCCTCTTCAGAATTCACATATTTCCGTAATTTCAAAAGTATCAAGTTATCTCAGCACTTTGCTTTAATAAATACTATTTTTGTATCATTACTGAAAAAAGTGCCAGGTTGCCTCTAATAATTGGTAACAAAGATATTAGATAAATTTTTATCAATATTAAACATATACATGGTTGTACAAATATTCATATTTAAAATGTAAACCAACTTATATCTTCACTGAAAAATTAACCGATTATTTAAAAGCTTACACATTTAAATAATGGAAAGCATGCATGTTGTTAAAATGCCATCCTTCAACTGATCTCTTTACTCAGCTTTTATTAATAAATTTCACTACTTAATATATATCACTGGTGAATTGATTTCAAATTTTTGGAGTTTGCTAAAAGAATACAACTTACTTGCATAAATTATATTACTTAAAAACTGGGTAAAGTTTGTGTACTTATTAATATTCAAAATGAAACTGCAGATGTGTCAGTTGCATACTATCTGTCATATTACAAATTAAAATAGCATGTGCATTTACTTAAAGAACCTGACTGATTATAAAATATATCTGTCCAACATGTAATTTTTACATACCCCTCACTTACGAGATCCAGTAACTCAAAATACCAAGTTATGACACATTGTGTGTTCAGTGATACTTAATAAGTACCACATTTTACAGGAAAATGAGAATAAATAAAACCTTCTTAACTTCTCTTCAGCACTTGCCATTCAAAGGTATCTAAGCCTATTTTATTATATGACTTCATAACTTCAGCCTATTCAAGCCCAAGGGTATATTGAAAAAAACTGATATTAATAGTCTTAAAACAGAAGGGAAAGGAAACAAAAACACAAGGGTAAGTTCTCCTTATACAAAGTCTTAAGATAATTTAATATTCAGGAAGAGCAGATGGGGCTTCTGTTATAAACTCTTAATTCAAAGACTCAAATAGGCAACTTGTGGGACAATAGGGCACCAAATGGAGCTTGGCAGAGGGAGAAAGCGCAAAAAACAAATGAGATCACAATTGCTTCATTTCCTTTCAAGCAGTGAGCACAAACGGGGTGAACTTGGCTTAGGGAGAACCCAACGTGAGTGATTTTTGCCTTGTTTCTTTATTGATCAGTTGCTGTGATTTTCGTAATTTTGAGGTTTATCCCCAATACCTAGTAAGGCCACTAGGGTATACCTACCCCAGGCTCTTTAGTGGAAAAATGTTAAGAAAGCTAGAAAATTGGGGCACCTGGGTGGCTCAGTCAGTTAAGCATCTGCCTTTGGCTCAGGTCACGATCCTGGAGTCCTGGGATCGAGCCCCACATTGGACTCCCTGTTCAGCAGAGAGCTTGCTTCTTCTCCCTCTGCCCCTCACCCTGCTCGTGCTCGCTCTCTCTCTCAAATAAATAAATAAATAAAATCTTTAAAAAAAAAAAAGAAACTTAGAAAATCTATAATCATTGCTAAAAATACTACAAGAAATCCTGAAAATACCATTAGGAAGTCTCTGGAACTTAGGATTTGTTGAAAGAATAAAAGTCTTACTAATTTATTAATACATTGAACAGGTACGTACTCTGAGCTCCTATTATATGCCAGGTAGTCTGCTAGGTAACTAAAATCCAGAGATGAATGAGACACATGATGCATGCCCTCGCCATGTAGTGAGGCAGACAGACTCATCCACAACTGACTACGATAAAAGCCAAAATGAAGTCTTATAATTGAGAAAGTCATAAGTCATATGCAAACACAGGAGACTGAGTGGTGAACTTCCGCGAGGGGACAAAAGGAAACAAATGGGCTGGTGAAGGACCCAGGCTCTGGCAATAGCGGGAAGTCATGAGCACCACGGGGCTAAGGAGCAAGGACAGTAAATTGTTTTACTGGAGCCCTGTCTGAGTCAGAGTTATGGGGAAGTGGTGCCTAGAGGGAGCCACAGTCAGGAGAGACGCAGGTACTGCTAGAAACAGCACAGCATAGAGAAGGAACAGGGAAGACACGTGGCCAATTCTCTTTCCTCCTGCCTTCTAATTTCCTGCCAGTGTCTCCCACTGGCAAAGCCTATCCAAAGCCGGTTGGCAAGGAGACCAGGGTGATGCAGCAGGCTCCTGGGGCAGAGACTAGGGCAGAGAAGGAGAGGGAATGGAAGTGGGATAGAGGGGTGTCCGGGAATAACCAGCACCCAGCACAGGTGGCTATCAGATTAAATCATTTTAAACCACGAAGAGTTTATAAGGATAGGTTGCTTAGAAAAGCATGAGAGAGTGGAACAGAGAGCAAATAAATTTGAAGAGGAAAAATTGCAAATTTTAAAAACGCAGATCCACTTTAAGGAAAAATAAGGTAGCTGATCAAAATGAGGTCCGTACGCAAGCAGAAGGCAAGATGGAGGAACTAAGCTCTGGAGAAATCAAGTGTCCAAACAGAGGAGGGGAAAGCAGATGAGGCCTGTGCCCAGACTTTAACCAAGGCCAGCCCCTGCAAGTATTAGGGACACAGCCTCAGAGACAATAATCCCTGTGGCTACCACAATACTGCAAAAAAAAAAACCTCTAGAATTCCCTAACTGAAATGTGTCTACCTGCTTACTCTTCCCCAATAGACTATAAAGTAAAAGAAATCTCTTCCTCCACAGAACAACAAAGGAATAATCATTTTGCTGTATAATCATTTTGCTGTATTGATTTCTCCTTTAATTCAATTGCATTCACATGTTCATAGTCAGAGGCTTCATTCTTTCCTAGCTTTGGTGTGTGTGTTTGCACGCATATGTATATGAAAGCATTAAGTTTCTTATGACATACCTCTGGATTCCTATGCCCCAAATTATTTACCAGCTTTAAGAAGAATTATATCAACAAGGCTACATTTTCAAATACCTATGCTAAATGCTTACTGAGTATATTACAGGCATATTTTTAAGATAAGAAATTTGGAGGAAGATGGATATTCATTCATTCATATAGGCTTCTCACTTTTCAGACTAAGAAGCTATGCCCCCATGAATACACTGCAACTACTCTTAAGTTATTAATATTAACCAATTTCAAATGCATATTGACTGTGACTCTGGTATATATTGCTGTTTGCATAACTCTAAGGGGATACCATTCATATCATGGTTTATGTGAATTATGTCACCCAGAACTGTCCCGTGCACAGCCTATTCAGCCATAGATGGGGACATTAATTAGAACTTGGGGAAAGTCAATAGGATGATATAACAAAAGGTATATAATGTTTTACTAAGGCTATATTAAACATTACTAATTACACAGTCACTAGCACCATAATGATAAGAGAATCTGCAAAAGCAATTAACATGACTTATTTTCACTTCATTTCCCCCCCATTTTAACAATTAACAAGAAACAGGAAGACAAGAACTGGTACAGATGCAAATTTGAAAGTTATTAGTTAGAAAAAGTGAAAAGTAGTTTACAGCACAAATTGAGAAATGGGTAAGTGAAAGAAGCCAGTAAAACTCTAGAAGTCCTAAGTGACACATTAAAATCTCGATTGGTCATTAATACAGAGATAGAAAATGCAGATCCCTCTAACGAGATTTAAATCAACTTCTGCAAACCTTTGCAGAAAGAATCAACCAAATCTACCTAAAAAAGTATTTTAGAATATAAAAAAATGAAAGGATGTATCATATTTCCCTTCTAAACATTTCCTTGCTTTTCCTTTTTATTGCCAG